CCCAGCGCTGAGTGCAGGCCAAGAATCCCTTCCCTGCTCCTGCTGCCACACTCTGCCTGAGCCAGGCCACGATCCCTTGGCCCTCTTGGCCCTCTGGGCACACTCTGGCTCATGTTCAGCTTCCTGTCCCTCCACACTCCCAGCTCCCTTCCTGCCTGGCTGCTCTCCAGCCACTCTGTCCCCAGCCCTGGGGCTGACGGGGCTTGTTGTGGCCAAAGGGCAGGACCCAGCACTTGGCCTGGTTGAACCTCATCCCCTTGGAATCAAACCATGGATCCAGCTTGTCCAGGTCCCTCTGCAGAGCCCTCCTGCCTTCCAGCACATCAACAACCCCCCAGCTTGGTGTCATCTGCAAATCTGCTCATGAAATGCTGGTTCTGCAGGAGCTGGAGATGCTCAAGGGGCAGCAGGACCAAGTCAGGGGTCTGGGGGGCTTTGGGGATTGGGAGCACAAACCAGGATAGACCAGGATAGACCAGGACCTCCCCACTGCTCCTGGATCTCCCCTGGAGCTGGGCCACATTGTCGTGGGACACCTGAGCCCCTCTCAGTGCCCTCCCAGTACAGCCCAGTGCCCCCAGTACAGCCCATTGTGTTCCTGTTCCAGGGTGCCAGGTGATCCCTCCTTGGGGGGGTTGGATGGGGATTTGGGGGGTTTTGGGTGCACTTGGGGGAATTAAAAGGGGTCTCGGGGACATTGGGGGGGTCAAAGGGATCTGGGGGAGGAGGGGATTAAAAGGAAAATGGGAGCTAGGGGACAGTTGGGGGGGTTACTGGGGCCTTGGGGGGGGAGAGGAGGGGCAGCACCACAAGCAGGTGAGTCCTGAGACCCCCCTGGTGTCCCCAAGACCCTCTCCATGTCCTCAACATCCTTCTTGACACCCCAAGACCCTCCTGGTGTCTCCAATGTCCTCAAGGTCTCCCCATGGCTCCAATTCCTTCCTTGACAACCCCAATTCCACTGTCCCCAAACACCTCCCCACTGTCCCCAATCCCCCATCTCCCTCCAGGAGCTCCCCCTGAACCCTCTGACCCCAAAAACGCCCCCATCCCCCCACACTCACAGATAGCCAAGGGCATGTGGGGACACACTGGGGACAGCTGGGAGGCTTTGGGGGGCACTGGGTGATTACTGGGGGATACTGGGACACACTGGAGGAAAACAGGGGGCACTGGGAGGGACTGGGGGGGTTATTGAGGGACGCTGGGAGGGACTGGGGGGGTTATTGAGGGACGCTGGGAGGGCACTAGGAGGGATCTAGGACACACTGGGAGGCACTGGTAGAGGACGGGGGAGTTACTGGGGGATTACCAGGACACACGGGGGGACAGTGGGAGGTTACTGGGCCATACTGGTGTTACTGGGTGCTTACTGGAGAATCACTGGGCCATCCTGAGGGGCAGTGGGACGTCACTGGGCTATACTGGGGTCACTGGGCCCCCTTACCTGGATGTGGTACGTCTCCCCCCCCCCCAGATTTTAGGGAGCACCCCCAGTACCCCTCCTCTGGGGCCTGGGGGACCCCCTGGACCCCACTGCTGAGCTTTATGCGACTTCCAGGCCCCTCTCCCTGTGGGATCTCTGTGTGCTGAGTCTTGGGGGTCTCTGGGGTTCGGGGGGGCATCAGGACCCTCTTTCCCTGTGCAGTGCAGCCTGGGGGCTGAGAGAGGGTTCCAAAGACCAGCCCTTTCAGGGACCTCCTAAACCCCCCCAAACTGCCTCAAAGGTCCCCGCAGAGCCCCCCAGGACCCACAGACCCCCTCGGACACCTCCCCAACCCACCTGGGAACCTCCAATCCCCTTAGAGACCAAAACCCTCTCAGGGACGTTCAAATCCCTTCATGGACCTTCAGCCTCCTCCCGAGTACCCTCAGGACACCAAATCCCCTCAGCGACCCCCCCCGCCAAAGCCCCTCACGGACCTCAAAACCTCCTCGGGAACCCCCGAACTCCTCCGTAAACCCTGCCGAGCCCTCCAGCCTTCCCGCCCACAGCCGCGCTCCCCGCAGCTCCCGAGGGCGCGCCCAGCCCCGCCGCAGCCCCCGAGGGCGCCCCCAGCCCCGCCCCAGCCCCCGCCGCAGCCCCCGAGGGCGCCCCCAGCCCCGCCCCAGCCCCGCCGCAGTCCCCGCCAGGGCTCACAAAGCAGCGGAGCCGCCGCCGCCATCGTTTCCCGGCAGCCACCGCGGGGCTGTGCGCGCGCACCGCCTGGACACACCCCCGCCGCAGCCAATCAGCGAGCGGTCCCGCCCCTCTGCCCGCTTTAGCTCCGCCCCCTTTGCCGCGCGGGGCACGCCGGGAGTTGTAGTTGCAGCGGCTCAAAGCTCACGGCGAGATTTGGGTCAATTGTGACCCAGCGTTCAGTTCCTGATCAGCTGAACATTCCACGCTCACCTTGGTCTGGGAACAGTAACAGAGCGAAGGCCACTCTGGTTTGCAATGTCATCTCAGTAGTTTGCTGGACTGGAGTGTTTAATTCTCCAAATGCACGTTGTGTCCAATTGCTTAAAACACTTCATTGCCGGGGAATATCTTCTAATAGAAATTGGTATCTGTTTAAGGTGAGAGAGGAGGTAACGAAATTCTCAAGAAAGAGGGATGCTTTTTATCTGGTGGTTCAGTAATGTGGAAGATCAATCCCTTTAATTGCCCATTGGGGTCTTTGTGTTCCTTTTGAAGAGGGAATAACACTGTGATGGGGTCGTTCTTTAGACACTTCACTGAAAGTAAAGACACATCTGGGGCAAAGGGTGGGAATTGCAGCCTGCTGCTCTAGTGACAAATGTGAATAAACCTTTCCATCAGAGCATCCCCAAGCCATTCCTAGAGGGGCTTTATATTTTGCAGTTTTACAATCAGTCTTGTCTGTGTGATCAAGGATGGTGATCTTTGGTTTAGTATTTCTTGGGGTGCCGTGGATGGAGCAGTGGGTACAGGGAACTCCACGGTGATTAAGAAGGTGTGAAGCCTGCAGCATTCTGAGGTGTGTGAGGGTTATGAGGACAGTGCCTTTATGAGGCTGCACCATTAGAAGGTGGATGGGGTTTATGAGGACAGAGCTTTAACGACATTTATGGGGTTCATTAGGACATGGCCTTTATCATGGGAGCCTCTTATGAGGTTTATGGGCTTTATGAGGAGAGCACCATTATGACATGTATGGGCTTTATGCAGACAGAGCTTTTCTGAGGAAAGCCCCATTATGAGGTTGTTGGGCATTATGAGAACAGTGTCTTTATGACCTTTACACACCCAGATCTTGATGTGTCCACACATGTCTGCCTGGGTGTGGGTGTGAATTGACTGTGGTGTGAGTGTTGTTATTGGGAATCTATAATTCAGTCAGTGTTCAATTGTA